CGCCGGCTCTGCGGGGAGAAGAGCAGCCTCGGAGGTGCGGTCCCGACGCCCCGCGCCACATTCCCCTACACCCGGTTCTCTACCAGGCTTCTCGTCCTGACTCTCCCCTCTCCCCAAAACTACCCCCAGTACGCCCGCGGGTGTTTACCGGGACTCGGGGCGGCGGCGACTCCTCAGTCCCTCGACTAAGATGGCAGCCGGTCCCGAGCCCGACCACAGCGACCAGAGCGAGTTAGCGGACAGTGCGCAGGCGCCTCCTCTTAGGGGAGGCCCGGACTACAAGCCCCAGCAGGCCTTGCGCGCCAGCTCGCCGAAGGGTTTCTCACCTTCAGGTGCGACGGACCTTGAGGCGCTCACAGCATCCTCAGCTTTGCTTTCTTTATCTGCCCTTCCCCCTCCCACCCCACTAAGAGGACGAGGAGGGTTCTCGTCCTCTTAGTCCTCCTCCTCCTCCTCCTCTCCCTTCCCTTCTCTCCCTCTTCTTCCTTGCTTCTCTCCTTGCCTCTCTCCTTTCTCTCTTTTCTTTCTCTCCCTCTCTCCTTCCTTCCTTCCTTCCTTCCTCCCTTCCTTCCTTTCCTCCTTTCTTCCTTCCTTCCTCTGGCACCAGAACTTCTGAAAGATTATGACTGTGGTTCCCAAACTCGAGTCAATGTCAGAATCACCTGAAGGGCTGCGGGCACTAGTGGCTCACACCTGTAATCCTAGCTACTCTGGAGGTTGAGATCTGAGGATCACAGTTCAAAGCCAGCCTGGGTAGGAAAGTCCAGGAGACTCTTATCTCCAATAAACCACCAGAAAACTGGAAGTGACACTGTGGCTCAAGTGGTAGAGGGCTTGCCTTGAGCTGAAGAGCGGAGGGACAGCTCCCAGGCCCAGAGTTCAAGTTTCACATCACACCTGTAATTCTAGCTACTCAGGAGTCTAAAATTTAAGGATTGAGGTTCAAAGCCAACAGCAGATAAGACTTTTACCTACACCTACACACACACACAGAGTCTCAGTGGAGCTGTGGCTCAAATGGTAGAGCATTAGCCTTGAGGAAAAAAAAGAAAAACCTCAGAGAGAGCATTCAGATCTTGAATTCAAACCCCAGGACCAGGAACACTCTGGAGTTAACACTGAATTCAAATCTTTCACCTTTAAGTGTTCTTAGAGGTGACAACAGGTTAATGGTGCCAATATGGCAAATGTTCTAAGGCTGAACAAGCTTCCTTAACCCTCACAACAAACCAATGAGAGAAGCACCGTTATTATCCCTATATTACAGATGGATAAACCAGGTCACACGTAGAATAGCAACATAGGCAGTTGCTTTCAAGTCCATCCAACCTCCATCATGGAATTGTTTATGAGAATTAATGGGCTATGTAAGTAGTGACTCAAGAGCCTCATCTAAGTGCTCAGTAATTAGTTACCTTTGCTATTATTGTTTAGTCTTTTCCTAAGGAAGGTATTTAACATCTGGAAAATCACTTGTACTTTTTAAAGTCATGTCAATGTTTCTTTCCTGGATTATCCCTTAGGAGATCTTATTAAAAACATACATTCCACCTGGTATCAATGGCCTGTAATCCTAGCTACTCAGGAGGCTGAGATCTGAGAATCACGGTTCAAAGCCAGCCAGGGCAGGAAAGTCTGAGACCCTTATCTCCAATAAACCACCAGAAAACCATAAGTGGTGCTGTGGCCCAAATGGTAGAGTGCTCAACCTGAGCAGAAATACTCAGGGATATCATCTAGGCCCAAAGATCAAGCCCCAGGATCAACAGAAACAAACAAAAAATAAATATTCCTGGGGCTGGGAAGTTGGCTCAGTGGTAGAGTGCTTGCCTTGCATGCCTGAGGCCCTGGATTCGATTCCTCAGCACCACATAAGCAAAAAGAAAAAAGCTGGAAGTGACGCTGTGGCTGAAATGGTAGAGCGCTGCTAGCCTTGAGCTGAAGAGCTGAGGGACAGCACTCAGGCCCAGAGTTCAGGCCCACGACCAGACCCCCCCCCCAAAAAAAACATATTAATCAGGATCCAGTGGTTCAAAAAAAAAAAAACATATTAATCAGGATCCAGTGGTTCACATCAGTAATCCTAGCTACTCAAGACACTAAGATCTGGATGATTGCAGTTTGAAGCCAGTTGGGGCATAGAAGTGCAAGAGACCCCCCCATCTATGAAAAATAACCAGCAAAAAGCTGGGCTCAATGTGTGGCTCAAGTAATAATAAAGGTATATTGAATAGGTAGGTCTCATTAGGTAGCCAATGAAGAGAACACCATGCACTATTCATGCAGAAGTTTATTTAGTGAATTGCTGCCCACTCTGTGCATAATAGAGAAGAAAGGCTGAAAAGAAAAAAAAGGGCAACCCACCCCTTGGCCAGGACTTATCTAGGCTTCGGACAGGAAGAGGTGTGGCCAGGTGGAGGAAAGGTGTGGCCACACTGGAATAGGATGTAACCTCAGAGTCTGGGACCCTCCTAAGGTCTGATGGGAGGCATGTAACCAGAGGTGGCCCAGGACATGACCTCCCAGGAGGGGAAGGTGACTGCTTCCAGGTCTGCCAGTTACCTAGGTAACACAGCTACTGGGTGGAAACTTACCCAAGAGGTAGGGAGCTGTCCCTGTGCAGACTTTACTGAAAGCAGAAGAGCCAGAGATCAATTCCTGGTATCGGGAGGTGTGGCAGGGGCGGGTAGGGGGAGGAAGGGAGGGAACCACGAGATTTCTTAGGGTTAAAGTATTTTATATATGCAAATAAAGGAATGAAACCAATTTAGATTGTTTTTAAATTTAAATTTTAAAAAGAAGCCAGTGGCTCATGCCCTACAATCCTTGCTATTCAAGAGGCTAAGACCTGACCGGTGGTCCGTCCAAATCAGTGCAATTAACCAGCAAAAAGGTGGGCTGAAGGTGTGGCTCAACTGCTAGAGCACCAGCTAGGAGCAAGAAGGCTTGAAGGAGAGTAGGAGGCCTGAGTTCAAGCCCTAGTAGGGGCATAAAAAAGTTAAAAAAAAATTCAGTGCTGCGAGAAAAATCTGTATTTTCTGTCAAACCAAAGTGACTCCATCTTGTCATCATTCATCAGTGTACATTGATATTTCTTGGAATTGTTATTTCCTGCAATTATTTGCTTTTTTATTTCAATTGTAACTATCATCTGTGCTGTTTGTGACCAGCCAGCCATGTTAGGAATATGAATCTTTGTCAACAGAGTTAAAGAATAAACTGTAACTACCAGGTGTGCTGCTCGTGACCAGCCAACCATATCAGGGGTATGAATCTTTGTCAATGGAGTTAGAAAGAATAAGACCCCCTTGAGTGGAAACTTTCCACTGAGTTTATCAACCTACCCCTCCAACTGTAACTGTCAGCCACCTGTTCCTAGCCCCGCTCCCAGCCAGAAGATAAATGTAAACCTTTCATAAGAAGTAAAGAATAAATAAACTCCTTTCTAACTTCTTTGTATTTTCTCCAATCACCTTGGTAACCAATTGTACTTAGAATGGAAGCCTAACTCCTTGACAAGGAGAAGGGAGAGTTAAGATTAGGCCTAGTGTGCCTGCCTAGTTCTGGGAAGGGTATTAACATTGCACACTCTGTGTGTGTGTGTGTGTGTGTGTGTGTGTGTGTGTGTGTGTGTGCATGCTAATTCTAGGGCTTGAACTCAGAGCCTGGGTGCTATCTCTGAGCGTTTTTTTCCCTCAAGGCTAGCACTCTACCACTTGAGCCATAGCTCCACTTCTGGCTTTTGGTCGTTAATTGGAGGTAAGATTCTCACAAGGAGCAGATGCCAGTGGCTCACACCTGTAATCCTAGCTACTCAAGAGGCTGAGATCTGAGGATTCCAGTTCAAAGCCAGCCCGGGCAGGAAAGTCCCTGAGACTCTTATCTCCAATAAACCACCAGAAAACCAGATGTGGTGTTCTAGCTCAAGTGATAGAGTGCTAGCCTTGAGCTGAAGTGCTGAGGCCCAGAGTTCAATCCCCACAACCAACAAAAAAAAAAAAAAAGATTCTCACAAAGGGCTAGGAAAGTAGCTCAGCAGTAGAGCGCTTGCCTCACATGCATGAGGCCCTGGGTTTGATTTCTCAGTACCACATAAGCAGAAAAGGCTGAAAGTGGCACTGTGGCTCAAGTGGTAGAACACTAGCTTAAGCTGAAGAGCTCAGGGATAGTGCCCAGGCCAGAGTTCAAGCCCCACAACCTACAAAAAAAAATTGTTCTCACAAACTTTCCTGCATGAACTAGCTTTGAACTACCAGCCTTAGCGCTCAGCCTCCAGAGTAGCTAGGATTATAAATGTGAGCCACCTGTGCTTGGTAATAAATTATGCTAAGAAGGGAGGAAGGACTAAGGAAGAATGATGGAGGAGGTGGGGGGCTGAGGTTAATGAGATTTTTTTTTTTTTGGTTGTGGGGCTTGAACTCTGGGCATGGGCACTGACCCTCAGCTCTTCAGCTCAAGGCTAGCACTCTACCACTAGAGCCACAGCAGCACTTCTGGCTTTTTCTATTTATGTGGTGCTGAGGAACTGAACCCAGGGTCTCATGCATGCAAGGCAAGCACTCTACCACTGAGCCACCTTCCCAGCCCATTGATGAGATATATACATGTGTGGAAATGTCACAGTGAAATCTCCTTGTTCAATTAACGTATGCTAATGTATGCTATATTAAAATCTTAAGTAATTAGCTGAGTGCCAGTGGCTTATGCCTGTAATCCGAGTTACTGAGGAAGCTGAGATATGAGAACCTCAGTTCAAAGCCAGCTTGGGCAGTTAAGTCTGTGAGACTTTTATCTCCAATTAACCACCAAAAAGCCAGAAGTGGAGCTGTGGCTTAAGTGATAAAGTGCTAGCCTTAAGCAATAGAAGCTCAAGGACAGCACCCAGAAACTGAGTTCAAGCCTAGGACTGGTAATAAATACATACATACATACATACATAATTAATACCATTTCTGTTGTTAAAAAATAGATTCCTAACAGGGTGCTGATGGCTCACACCTGTAATCCTAGCTACTGGGGAGACTGAAGTTTGAGGATTACAGTTCAAAGCCAGACTGGGCAGGAAAGTCCCTGAGACTCATCTCCAATTAACCACATGAAAACCAGAAGTGGTGCTGTCGCTTAAGTGGTACAGCACTAGCCTTGAGCTAAAGAGCTGAGGGACAGTGCCCAGGCCCAGAGTTCAAGCCCCACGACTGGCAAAAAATAAATAAATAAATAAAAAGATAGACC